GCTGCCGCAAACCCTGGCGATAAAGGGCCCGGGCCATGGCCACTGCTGCAGCTGCTCTGCTGATCTGCCGGATGCTGCTGCTGCTGCTGCTGCTGCTGCTGCTGACTACATAATGAAAAAAGTAAAAATACGGTGACAGGAGGTGCAAAGGCCTGGGAAAACCCATAACCTCTACAACCCCGGCACCCTAATGCACGCCTTAGCTTATTAGGCTGAGGCGCATTACTAATCTATAATAAGATATTTAAAACAGAGTAAATAAATAAGTAAATAAATAAAGCGGAAATAGATATCATGGTTCAGCTTTATTTATTCATCTATTATTTAATAAGGTGTAGCCTCCCCTTAATTAGGTAATCCCCAAACAAATGAAAATCAATTGTGCACAACCAGGGCTGTGGGCACCACAAACGAAAACACGACAGACTGTACACGCACGGCAACAGCCGTGACACGCGCACACTCGCTGATGCTGGTTGTTGGCTGCTGGCTGATAGCTGCGTAGCGTAGCCCATTTAGGCAATATAACTGGCTGCAGCTGCTGGCTGGTTAGATAACGCTAGCTACCATCCACAAAACCCAGCGACGACAATAAAACCGGCCGGTCACCACCACTGTCCACCAACTGTCCACCAACTGGATCAACATCTGCCAACCTCTTCCAACCAAACATATCTCCAACGGACAACTTCCACCATGACAACCATATTTCTCGACCCGATCCTCCATATCTTTGGACTCCCTTATTTTCCTGCTTTGAACTAGTCCTTCCGTTTGCAACGAATGTCGTGGTTTGAGCAAGGATGTCTCCCTTTTCATCTTTCTTTTGTGCATGGTAGGTTTGAATGCAGAAATTCTGTAGCGTGGGTGGGCACGAAGAGCCGCAGCGGCGGCCGGGGAGGGAAATGCACCGCAAAAAGGTCGCGGTGGCAGCAAGCCCAGAGGAGAAGAGCCACAGCGGCGGCCGGGGAGGGAAATGCACCGCAAAAAGGTCGCGGTGGCAGCAAGCCCAGAGGAGAAGAGCCGCAGCGGCGGCCGGGGAGGGAAATGCACCGACGAAAAGGTCGCGGTGGCAGCAAGCCCAGAGGAGAAGAGCCGCAGCGGCGGCCGGGGAGGGAAATGGACCGACGTCACCGCCGCCGCAGCAGCAGCGCTAGCAGCAGCAGCAGCAGCAGCAGCGCCCGCAAAGGCCCCTGCATTAGTGCGCGGTGGCTGAAAGGGCCGTGAAAGGTGTCTGCCAATCCGAACCGGCGTCCCTGCCTCCGTTGCGAGGTAACGAGCCAAAGTGCCAGGACCCCTTTCCTGGAGCTTCTCCCATTATCACTACTTCATCACTGCCATCATCACTGTCACCGTCGCTGGGCTCGATACCTTCTCGGCTGCCGTCCGCGTCGCCACCGTCGATGCGGCTGGTGTGACCGGGAGGCGCCTGTGCTTCCACCACGTTTGTTTTCCAGTTCAGGCGTCGCAGCTCTTCGACGCAGCAACTGCGGCGTGGGGCCGTTGCCGTCCAGCAGTGCCTCGTCAGCATCTGTCGGCGCCGCCGCCTCATCCGCCGGCTGTACGAGCACACTGGCACGGCACCTTCCCATGGGCCCCGTCGGTGCCGAGGGCGTATTAACCAACATCCCGGTGCGGCCGGCGGAGACGCGACTTTTCGGTGCACTTCTGATAAAGGCAAAGTCCGCTAGGGGTCTTACTGCCGGCGCCGCCGCGGCGGCAGCTGCTGATAGCTTGCCGACGGCGCCGGCGCCGCTGTCCAGCGAGCCACCCCTTCCCCGTTGCTGCAGTGCCTGTGAGGGCAGCGGAGAAAGCCGCCGTGCAAGAACAGCAATTTGACAAGAACTAAAAGATGCCGACGGCGAGACGTCCAACTAACAAACAAGACGTGACGCACTGCCAAATTGTACAATGACGTACTTACGGCAACGTCAACCAGGAACTGCACTGCACAGACAAGCCAGGCATTTAAGTATAGCTTAGACTCACCGGTGGTACGACAAACCGTGACGTGGAAACGCCGATGGCAAGACGCCGACGGCGATCAAAATGGCATGTCTTCCACGCCGACGGTGATGCTGATGGTGAAAATGGCGGTGGCGGCCCAGACCCGGCAGGTGTTGTTGCAGCGAGTGATCAGGGGATTCGGGCGGGGATGACGGGGTTACATACACACTACGAAACGGTTTCGGAGTGGCCGAATTCGCAAAAGATTCCAACGAAACGCAAGACATGGAACCAAACGACCCTCGACCATGCCATGCCATCATGCATACCACAACAAAACTTTGATGATGCAGATTGATTGGTGGTCGGCAATACAAATCCGGCATCCCAAATCCGACATGCTATGGCAAAGCGTTGCAGGACGGGGGGGGGACGTGTGAAACGATGCCCCTCTCGTACTTACACTTTCACACATGACGGCGATGTACAGCGATGTACGGCGGTGGTGACGGCTCGTCGCGCCGATACATGTTGTTGTCCTGTTGGAAGTCCTCGCCCAGGCTCACTCAGACCGGCGGGGGGATCGGGCGGGAGGTGGGCGGGGAAATACACACACACACACACACGCTGTTAATCAGCTAGCAGGGGACGCAACGAGCACAGACTTTGCACGGCAAAACAACATGAGCAGCTGCGCACAAAATGCAGAAACATACTAATAAGCACACAGGCGGATCGCGGGCAGTTGGGAATTCTCCATCACAAGTAAAAACAGTAGCACCCCCACACCTACCCACACATACGTATACATGCGTGCGCGTGCACACACACATACACCCTCTTACACACACCTACAGACACTTACACACGCACACGCGCGCGCGCGAGCACATTCTCACCCACATTTGAACACCTATATACAAACATACATACATACAATTGCGCACAAATACAAGACACTGAACACCGCAACAATAACCATCGGCCGGCTTTGCAGCTTCTATCTGTGTTTGCTGAACTTATCTTTGCAGTTTGCTGCCTTTGTGCTTTTGCTGTCGCTGCTGCTGTTGCTGCTTGCCGGCACAACAGGGGAAAACACCGCGCCACGAAACACCCACAGCAAGAAACTTTGCTCCGAACGTATGTACGACATCACTACATCACGAACGGACACAAAGTGGCATCCACGCAGTGAACATACGGGGAAAG